CTCAATCGCTTAGCTATGACGTCTCAACCGTTCAACCGACGTCAACTGTAATACTGTTACGAAAAGACAGAGGCAAAGAGGAATATATATATATATATATATATATATATATATATATATATATATATATATATATATATATATATATATATATATATATATATATATTCCATATCCAACTCCAGAAAATTGAATCACCTCTACATATACGAGGACCATAACCAGATCTGGCAGAAATATTTAAAATATTAAAAAAAAGAATAAGGTGCTTTAAAAAATTCAAACGTATGGAAAGCCGTAGGGTACCCCCACATTATTATTATTTTTTCCTATATAACTATACCAAAAATAATGATCTCATACAAAAATAAAAATCTTGCTTTTTTTTTTACAACATTATTATTTTTCTGCAACAATAATAATTTGGGTACCTCCACATAATTATTATTCCTATATTTTTATAATTGTACCACAAATTAATAAAAAAAAAAAAATAATAATAATAATAAAAAAATAAATAAAAAAAAAATAAAATAAAATAAAAAAAACATTATTATATTTCCCCGCAAATATTACAATTATCACGTTTCCATACTATACTACCATACTATGTGTACAAATTATCTTTATTTAGCCCAACAATAAATAATAATTTTATCCTCTGATGTTTTACAACTATAATCTTGCCAACAGCAATAATTATAATCGGTCGATGTGTAACATTGTTTTTATTTACACCAAGATTATATCATATTACGTTTACTTCAACGATTTATAAGAATGCATACTAGTAACAACTACTGATTGAAAATTTAAAAAAAAACCCACTTTCATAGAAATAAATATGTATGCAAAACAAAACCAAAAAAAAAAAAAAACAAAAAAAAACAAAAAAAAAAAACACCACATTAATTTTTCAACAATAATAATGTGCGCCTTGTTCGTAGAAAACAACTTTATTTTTATTTTTCATCGGGAAAGATAACTTCTTTTCTAGTGACAGGAACGAAAACTCTGTCCCTTGTTGAAACATTATTATTGTGGCAGACTGTACACATTATTTGAAGCGTGAATTATATTATCTTGAGCGTGGAGAAATATTATTTCTAGCGTGACGGATACAAGCGTTTATGTGAGAGAGATTTGCACACATTATTTGAAGCGTGAAGGAAATATTATCTTGAGCGTGGAGAAATATTATTTCTAGCGTGACGGATACAAAGCGCCTATGTGAGAGAGATCTTTACATGTGTGTTCACCGTTCAGTCGAAGCATGGTCGAAGTGACAGTCTGAAGACGTCTTCGACAACAAAAGTTACAAGGTAGGACAGACACGGTAAGAAGTAAACACCACGCCAGTAATGTTTTAAGCTTAAATGTTAAAGTACAGAACTTTCAAACCTTAATGTTAAGATATAGAACTTTCAAACCTAACTTTCGAATTTTCTCGTCAGGGATTGAGTCTAGAATAAAACATAAATTGTCTTCTATATATATGCACACGCCAGGAGTATTAGAAATCGCATCATAAAATATGTATTTTTTTTTTTTACAGATATGTTTTGTGTAGAGTGTGGTCACAAGTTTGACCACAACAATCCCAAATTTTGTGGGAATTGTGGGATAAGAATAGGTATGTGAAGTTATAATTACATTGTAATATATATATATATATAGAGAGAGAGAGAGAGAGAGAGAGATGTCATGAACTGAATATAAAACAAAAAGTTGAAGCAGAGAAGAACAGAAATATGTTCAAAAGAAGTTTAACATCCTGATGTATTATAGTTTCGGATTTTTTTTTATCAGTAAACATGGTAAATACTAAATAAGAACCGAAAATGAAGACATGCAGTCCTGAATCTGCAGTGAATTGTTTGCTGAAATCAAACTAGAATGAAATATTTTACAAACCAGATCTGGAAATTTAGGGTTCTTCAGCAAAAATCAGGTGAAAAGCATGACTCGCCATGCCATAAAAAATAATTGGGTTATGGGTAAAAAAAATCTGGTTTAACACAACAGAATTGGGGGAGTTGGCAACTCTCCCCCCTCCCCCCATTACTACGTATGTGTATCTGTTTTTAGGAACATTTGTAACCATTTTCATTACTATTAGAATATTACTAGTTATTTATGCATTTATCTATTTTATAGGTAGCAAGGACACTGGAGATGTTGAAAAAGAACCATCCATTGGTAAATTTATTGGTTGCGGAAGTTCTAGATTTGAAGCAAATTCCTTTTGCCTTAAATTATAATTAATCAATTACAGGTAAACTTTGCTATCTCGACATCAGCAGAACTATCGGAAAATGTTGAGGTATCAGAGTTGAGACTTCATGCCCAAGACGCCCAAGATTTCACTGCATAGCAAAACAGACAGGTTTATTACGTACATGACTTCAATATACGGTAGTTCATCTTATTTCAGGAATCCCTCTATTTTTATTACCAAATCTAAGGAATTATAATAAAAATAATGTTTATAAAATAAGTTCTTTCTCTATATCGAAATCTTTCTAAATTTACAAAGTTTTCCAAAATTCCACCATTCCGTGTACATGTAACTTGTTTTTTTGGTCAGAACAGGATATGAAATGGGCTCTATAAACTTCGAACCGTATAAAGTCGACATCTGAGAAACAGAAAAAAAATTAGATGCATTATTTTTTTTTTCTCATTTCAAAAAGAAAGCTCATAAAAACAAAATGTGATGTTACTTGTGCATGAATTAAGGCTGATTCAGTTAATCGTGTCATTAATTTGATTATTCAAGTTCCTGTTGAATGAATTTTTAAAACAAAATATCTTTTAAAAACATCATTTAATTCCTTAGTTAGAATTAAATTTAATGCGTTTATTATTTATTGTTATGCAGTAAGCTTTTTCAAATTATAAAAGTTGTGCTTTATGTTGATATTAATAAACGTCGGTACATTTAACGAAAATCGTATGGATTTATCGATGATATTGCCCAAGCTGAACATCTAATTGAGCAATTAAAGTCTCGAAGAAGACCGAAGGGCTTGGGATTCTTCTACAAACACAGTCTGACTATAGAATGAATTCAGCAGTGTGTACTCAAAACATGGGTGTGAAAGGTGTGAATTTCTTATGATGTCGAGATACACAGAGTCATCCGTGCCTGACGAGTGACCATTTGACAAACAGTTAAGTTTAATAGAGCAGAAAATTGCCGATGTCGACATATACCAGGTAAATGTTGCTCTTGGGACTGTGAATATACGTCGAGATAAACCGGGTTGTCGACATTACCGAGGTAGACATATCAGAGTGTCTGCAAGTGAAGTATATAGAAAATACTGCCGGGAGCATGGACGGACGTCAACATATCCCAGGTTGTCGATGTATCCGCGATGTTGAGATACGGAAGTTAACCTGTATTTAATGAATATTCAGTTGAACTTTGATATCTTGAACACTGATCATGTGGTGATATTTCAGATGCCATGGATATGTCAAAGTGATTTGGAAGTTGCAACCCCTTATTCTTTAAGTATGTTATCCCTGATATCTCAAATCCTTGGATATCTCAAAGTTCAGTCCCATCAAGTTCAAGATAACAAGGTTTAACTTTATTTATGAAACTTCACAGGTAGTCACAGTGAGGTGCTTTCTGACACTGATGACATGGAAATTTTGCTATAATTACATGTATACTACATTCATTTGGCATGAAAATACAATAGAATAATGTATTTCTCTAAATTTTCAGGTTGTGAGGTGCTCCCAGATATGGCAGACATAAAAGGTGTTGAACAAAAGTTATCCAAAGGTAAATTTACTAATGATTGTATAGTATATTCTACAACTTATAAAAAGCATTGATGATTTCCTGTAGGAAACACCTTAATACAGTAACAAATTTTCCAAGGCAGACCTCAAAATATTTATATCTATCATATGTACACACGCATGTCACTATAATAAATGATTTACTTACTTACTTACAAAAGTCATTATGAAATTTATTTTTTATGTGCTTCTCTTTATATGACATTTGTGAAAATGAAGCAAAGTGCTTCCAGATTTGGTAGGAGACTTAGAATCTGATTAATGAATATCATCAATTTAAAAGAAATCTGAAATATCTGTGCTTGCTTGTCGACAAGTGAGCTTTGGTAGTCGGGAAAGGAAAGTCATCATGGTGATGAGTGGTTATGATTCAAACTTGTCCTCTTGAGCAAGCGGTCATGGAAATTGTTAACACCCTGTAATTTAGTAGATAAATTTTTGTCTTGAGCTTAAAACAAACATGATCATAGGGCCAAGGATTTCCCCAAATAGTACATCTTTGAGACAATGATTTTGCTAGGATAAAGTAAAATGATAAGTATGAATTTGTGTCTCAATACAAGTTTTTGATAATGTGTGTTATGTTTCTATTGTTAGTGTGAAGTCATTTTAAAGTAAATCTTTTAAGGTTGCAAAGAAAGTCTGGAGTTCCTAAAAAAGAAGTATGGCCCTCAAAGCCTGAAGCATAAACCAAAACCAAAACCAGATAGGAGCATTTCAAAAGTGAGAGACTATGGATTGAGTTTATGTTACAGTTACTTGTTGTCATAATAACAGTGTGAAACATAAATTGACACAAAGTAAATGGTCATTCCTCACATACAATGTACATGTTTTTGCATACATATACATGTCAACAAGAGTTGTTAATGAAGAATTGTATAAGCTGAAAGACATTAAAAATATTTTAATTTTTTCTTATATTCAGAAATTCACTAACATGCATGTATGGTACATGTATATACATGTGTTTGCTTAACATTGCAGGAACTGATTGTTCATATAATGGATGGTAAAAATAGGGCCTTGAAGAGAGCCTTCCCAACGGATGATGGACTTAGTGGCTGTCTGAAAATCCTAACCAGCTACAGCGATAATGCAGAAAATTGGATGTCCAAAATTAGTGACATGTTCAGAGGGAAGATTATTTTCCTTCCCTACATAATGGGAAAATGTGGTATTGAAGCAATAGAGAACCCCCAACAATTCACACTTGGTCACTTGGAGAAACTAAAAACAAATAAGAAATATGTACCACTAAAGATATATGCAAAGGCCAGAGGGAAAGGTAATACTTTAAGAGCTGTTTGAGAATTTACCTCAAGCCATCTTTAAAAATTTGCCCTCTCCCGACTGACTGGCTCAAAATGGCTCATGTCAATTTTGTTTTACCTCAAGAAAATGATCAATTTTAAAATTTTCATTCTAGAATTTTCTCATCCTGTCAACAAGTTTTTATAATCATGTCAAAAGGTATTGTTTTGTGTTTGCCTGAACATTCTTTTAACTGTATAATTAATTATATACTGGGTTATGGGCAGCAATTATCACTAATATTTACATCTACAGTGTAGAAAAAAATCAATTTCAATTCATTATCTTTATTGTAGAAGGACATACATCTAATAGCACATTTATAGAAATCATTATTATACCCGTACTGATTTTTCACTAATTAAGAGTAAATCGATATTTTTTGCTGATTTCTTGAAAATCACCCTAAAAAGACAGATTCCCTGCTAAAAGGACTTAAGGTGCGTCAGTTTGATGAACTGATACACACCTATTTGGAACACCTATCAATTTCTGTAAACAATTTGAAAAGTACCGATATGTTCCAAATAAAATCATGAATATTCATAATGCAGCAAAAGGAAAGTTATATATAAGGAGGCGGGGCCTAATTTTTATGGGAAAGAGTAACTTGTTATTGTGTCGTCAACATGGTAGACTAATATGCACAGAGAGATATACCGATCACATTATTTTGTTACAGTGTAAGTTGTTTATAATATAAACAAAGTTGCTTGCAGATACATGTACATAGTTAATAGACAATTGATTGAAATGCAAAGATCTTATTTATTATTTTTATGTACATTCTGAGTACTCAATATTTCCATTGCGCTCACTCCCTCCCTCCTTGGTTGGAAACCCATAGGCAGCAATTCCAAACAAACAATTTTTTAAGGATGGCCCAATTTCAGTACTGCATGTTTTTTTAAAAAAAAAATTATCATGAAGTACTTTTGTGTCTGCCTGTTTGAAATTCAAATAATGGCAGCCAAATTATTGCATGAAGGACAACATTATTTAAGATAAACATTTTGTTATGCAATTAATACTATTGAACTTCACTATTTCAAACATTGATATCTTAAATACCATGGTTAGCTTGAAGTGAATTGGAAAGTGGAAGTTCCAACAGATTTGATATACATGTAGATGATGTCTGCTGCACAGATAAGGAAGTTATTGTAAATGATTGACAAGTTTTCTTTTGTATTTTTCTTCACTTTTTGATGTTTTAGATAGGAGAGAAATTACAGAAAAATACAAAGGGCAGAAATTATCAGAGGTTTTAGTGATTTACAATTATGTTTATTTTTTGTTTAATCTTTGAATTCTAGCATGTAATGATTTGATTAATTGATCTTTTCTTTTCATGATTTTGTTTTTCTGTCAGTCTGCTCATATCTAAGTCCATGTTCCCCTTGTAAAATTAATATATTTGTACCTACATGTATAAATAAGAATATAATGCTTTCAAAGTTCATTGTGCCATGTACATGTACTTCCTTTTATCTTTTATAAAGTAAATTGACAGTTCCAAAGAAATGAAGAATGTTGAAAATAGTAATGTTAGAGTAAAGTGCTTATAGGATGAGAATAATAACTTTAATCTTTTCCTATTGTATTAAAAAAGCATCTTTAAGTTAAAGTAATTTTCAAAAGAATTATAATATGGTGGGCAGAATGACATGCAGATATGACTTCAAGGAATGTCATAAAGTTAGCATTACTTTGTGGTAGTGTTATTTATTTTCACAAAATGATTTATCATGATTTTAATTTAGCTTAAAAATAAAGAGTTTATGTAAGGGACAACAAATTCTGTGTTTTCAATGATGTTTTAGATTGTGTGAGGGAAGATAACTTTTTCCTTCTTTAGGGCATAAAGGGAATTGAATATGCTTGCATGAAGTAAATTTTTCATTTTTTTTAATTGATTAAGAAAGAAATAGTCTTGTTAAGATTTAAATAAATAACCATAGATAAACTCAGATAATTTTTACAGCATTTCTTACTTTCCATGTAGCATATAGTAACTGTCTCTTTATTATTTTTTTTTTTAATTTCTCACTGTTGGTTGTGTTAGATCATAAATTCATGCAAGTGCAATTTCTGTGATCTGACACAAAAATAATGTAAAATTGTCACAAAATATATTCTGTAAAGAAAAAAATGATATTTTTAAACAGTCACATACTTTGTATCTTAAAGCTTATACATGTATATATGATATTTTTTGATGTATGTTCATGATTAAATTAATAGACTTGTCGAATCTTTAAATGCAAAGAATAAGGTAAACAGTAAGGAGTCTGTCTATATGAATGAATTAAAGGTACAATACCACATCAAATTTTCTTATCTCCCATACAGAAGAGTTACATTGCTATTTTTTCATTATTTCTTTCAATCAAAGTCTAATTAGAAAATTTTAATTATGTAAAATGTAAAAATAGACTCCAGAAAATGTTCCTAGAAACTTTTCAGTAACAAAAATTCATGTATTTCTTAAATTTTCAAAAATAATTTTTTAGCTATAAAGGTACATTTTCCCACTTTTCACCAAATTTTGTAGCTTGGTCAAAAATAAAGTTGTTCAACGAAACAAATATCACTTCTTTAGTTAGAGAGGCTCATATTTAAACAAAGATATTTAAATTTTGTTAGTATTATTTATCCTTAATTATGAAATCAAACAACAATCCTACTTAGACCTACATGTGCATTTAGATCAGTTCACCTCATTTAATAACTGGAGGTAGTCTAGATAATGGATTAGGTGAACTGATAGCAAATATTTTTTTGCATCTTTGTACAATTATGAGCTTTTTAAAAATCAATTTTTTTTTTTTTTAATTAAGATATCTGATGAATTTGAAGACTTTGAAGAGCTGGATCTTGAGGTAGTTGCATCATAATAATCAATTTTTTTAACACGTGGGCCAAATTTAAGGTTAAAGTGAGCTTTTTATGATAGGAATATGTCCATTGTCAATCTTCATTGTTTTTGTCATAGTAAACATTTAATATTTTGACTTCTCCAAAAGCATTGGATCAATATCAACCAAACTTGGCACAAAGCATACTTTGATGAAGAGAAAATTTATTTATCTAAAGAACCACACCCTCTTGGAAGGGGAGAGTATAAAATAAACAGAAATATGATGGATGTCATCAAAATATTTGTTCAAATCCCCACCCCCTTTTCCCCAGGATTGGTTGTGGTGAATTAAAATATGGGATCCAAATTTTACATGAATTTGAATAAATAGAAAAAAAAAGTTTGGAAATCTCCTCCTCAAGTGCAGCAGGAATATGATGTGACATTAATATGCATGTATGGAGACTTTTGTAGTGCAGATTTAAAGAACTGAATGGTACCTGGAGGTAGGATGGGGTCACATTTGGGGTTAAAAACCCATTTACCGGTACATGTGAAAGCAAAGAAATTATGAAAAAAAAATATGTTTTCAATAGTTGCAGTGCCACACTAATTCACATTGCAATGCAACCTTCTCTTCCATTGATTTAAGTTTCCAATTAAAAAACAAAAACAAAAAACATTGATCATAGGGATAGGATTTGGCTTAAATAGGATATCAATTTTCACAAAATGCATGCATATGGAAGTAAAATGCTAAAAATTTCTGATGAACAGCAAGGCTGTTTCAATCATTTTGTTATGGCAGCATGATGTAACCCCCCCCCCCCCCCCCCCCCCCCCCCCCCCGTGTGGATTCAAGTTCAGTTTAATCATGATCCGCTTGTGCTAAGTTGGGTTGGTTAAATTGTTCAGGGAATAAAAAGCTTTTTTTTTTAAATTTAAATCTAGCTTATAAGCAGAGAGGATGTGACTTTTATGAGCATTGTGACTCCTGCTCCACTTGCTTTCATCACTGATATGCCTTAAGAACCTAAGTGCAATTTTGAAATTAAAAATTAAAGATTATGCAGTAAGTAATTTTAAAATACATGTAGTTCAAGGAACACAGATACATGTATATTTTTCCTTTGCAGACCCCAAAGAAAGAGAGAAAACATGGAATGAAAGCATCCACAGAATGTTATGTAAGTGATCTGACCCTGTTTAAAATGAATTTTGCATGACTTAATGTATTAATTATTTTTCAAGCAAGCTGTATAATGGTTATGTGCAGGATTTGGAGCCATCAACATCAAAGGAATTAGATGGGAAAGGGTCACCACTAGGCAGTAATGTAGAGGAACAACCACATAGAAAAATAAAATTGTCTCCAATCATTATTGAAAATGAGGTATGTTTAGTACAAGTAAATTGCCATTGTTGTTTATGAAAGTTTTTTAAACAAAAATTTTAAAAGTTTCTTGTGGCTTCACAATTGAAGAAATTAGTCTGAAACTTCACTGGGGAAAGTCAACAAAATTTCTAAAATTGACCAGAATTTGAAAGAAACTGCATGCATTTGGATGTATTTTTAGGCATCAAAATATAATTTACCACTGTACCAATTAATAGTGTGCTCTGTTTGATATAAGTGATTATATGAAAGCTAGAGATTGTTTCTCTTAAATTTGAACTTACATGTAATATTTGAAGATTTTTATTAGGGATGGCCACATGCAGTAAACTGACAAATTGATCAGAAAGATCATACTGGGTACAAATTCCATATAAAGCAGTCAACATTTTTAGAAACTTTTGTGATGAACTTACTTAAAAATTGTGCATTTTTTTTAAATGTAGGGTTCTGATGATGATTGTAAACTCCCTAAAATGGAATTATCAAGATCAGTAAGTGTTTATTTTTCATGACTTTCTAGTTGTTTGGGTTTTTTTTCATTATACAGCTTAAACTTTCCTAATAGTGATTGGAATGTACATTGGTACATTTGTAATAGTTGGGCATACCCATATACCCTATCCAAAACAATACCACTGAATAAAATTTAAGGAGACTCGCAATAGCCTTTTAACCCCCCCCCCCCCCCCCCACTACCATATGGGTATAATGGTAAAATCAATTTTTTGCTATTGAAAACTCTATTAAACAACTAGGTGTCATTTTGCTAGCCTGTTGCCAACAGTTCCTCCATTTTCTTTTTTCTTTTTTTTTTCAGTAATTATAGTTATTAATTTAAATAAACTTTCAGTAAATTTGGATAATCTATCAAATAACAAACATTTCACTATTAACTTAGTCATAATTTTATTATTACACAAGGTAACAGGATTCATTATGATTTTTGGTCACCTTAGTCACAAGATATTTCATTTGCAGACCCAAAAGGAAAAGAGAAAACGAGACATGAAAGCATCCACAGAATGTTATGTAAGTTGTCTGCCCTTGTTTATAATTACATGTAATCACATATGACTTGTATTATGTTAGTATTATTCTAGCAAGCTGTATAATGGTTATGTGCAGGATTTGGAGCCATCAACATCAAAGGAATTAGATGGGAAAGGGTCACCACTAGGCAGTAATGCAGAGGAACAACCACAAAGAAAAAGAAAGTTGTCTCCAATCATTGTTGAAAATGAGGTATGTGAGTATGTTTTAGTACAAGTAGATTGCTACTTTCCTAATGAATCCATGTGAATATTTTCAATTGTATTTTAAATACTTTTCAATGGGGGATATTGTTCATGGTCATAAACTTAAAGCTAAATATGACTCATTGAAGAAGAAAAAAACTTCCTCCCTTTTTCTCTCATTTTAATCTTTTTCTTGAGCACTATTATAAACCGCAGACTTCTTCACAGTCTGAAGATTTTGCTGTACAGATCTTACTTGTATAGACATATATATAAACTAGTATCTAAATTATATTGCTATTGATGCTCAGTCTCCATAAAATTGTCAAGTTTATGCAGCTATAGCATGTCAGGGGGAAAGTAACATCAATTGCATGTATGATTTATTACAAACAAACACAAATGCACGTAAATGTAAAAACAAAGAAAACTTTAGAATTAGTCAACATCGATCATGAGTTCCAGGTGTGCATTCTGGTTTAATAATATATATTCTATTGCTGATATTTGAAAGACGAAAACTAGCTTATGGCTATTTATGAGTCCAGGAAAAATAACAGTTTAATTGTGCAAACATTTTACCAATCCATTGCCTTTAAATTGTAATTCAATAAAGGACTAAAATTGGCTACTCAGTCTGTGCATAATTTTGGGTCTGTTTGTCATAAACTTCATGTGTTATGTGTATTCCTTATTAATGATGGGCAGCATTGTTAGACACAACAGTTATCAATCTTGTTGGTAGAAGTATTTTTTTTCTTCATTATTGATGTTGTGCTTATGAACACATCTATAGGCATCAGAAGCAAATTGAAAGGGGGGGGGGCTAACTGAAATGGGGAGCTAAACCAACAGAAAAAGGTAAGCCCCAATTTTCAATGCCCATATTATGTCCGTCTTTTGAAAAAAGTGGTGGGGGCTAAGCCCCCCCCCCCCCCCCCCCCCCATTTCCAATGCCTGTGGAATGTTACTAAGCAATTTGAGATTCATTTTGTAACTGTCGATCTGAAGAGCCATTAAAGGTTAAAAGGCAGGAAGCACTTACAGATAAAATGAATTTTCAGGTCTTGAGAATCTTGACTTTTTTCATTGTATATACATATATATTTATATATATTTTAGATTTCTGATGAGCTACCAGACATTGAGGTACCCTCTCTTTCTTCAGACATTAATACAGATCCTAAGTCTGATGCTGTATGTAAAAGATAATGTATACTAAGTACACATATTTGTTATCTTTAAACAATACATTTATACATATGTGTATAGAAATGATTATGATATTGAAATAAGCAACAATTTAACATCAAGCAATCTACTTTTTTTCTTAAAACTTCACTAGTCTAGTTTTTCTTTAACAATGATTTGGAATGAGATAGTTAATGTAATGACCTGTTCACACAGAGAGTTTTAATTCGCAGTAAATTAATGAGAAGTGAAATAATGCGTGTTCTCATTCGTTTCTTAATCTTTATATGTATGACTTTTCATACCCACTTTACTTAACAGGGGTCTGCGCTTTGCTAGTGAGGCTTCCAAGGTCCTTTTAGGGACCCGACCCCCCCCCCCCCCCAGATTAACACATGTTGTATAATGCTATCATGATGTCATTTGCAAATCACTTCACATTGTGCAGAGCAGATCCATTAGACATAATGTCATGGTGTCTGTAATCATTTCAGTGATAAGCATAATTTCACTTTGTTTTTCACTAAAAAAAAAAATAGCATAAGTACCCATATCTGACCACTGACATGTGGCATGCGACTTGATATTGCCATTACGCACGTGTCAGAATTTTAATTCTAATTATCTAAAGAGCTAATGCGGAGTAATTTGATGCACAGTAATTTAATTCAAATTAAATTAATTTGTAATCTCCGTGTAAATGGGATTCAAATTTAATTTGCTGTAACTTACATTCAGATTACTAGTAAATTCTCGGTGTGAACAGGGCATAAAAGTATATACTGTTCTTTCTTTCAGCTTTCGAAGGAGGATGTACCGGTATTAGAGGATTTGCCAGTAAGTTGTCAATATTGAATACATGTATTATATATGTTTACTGCTATCTTGTTCTTAATATCAAAAAGTAATCAATCAAATGAGAAATCATAAAAGTGGCAGTTTCTCAACATATATGTACATGTATACATGTATATCAGATTCTTTGATTATTTTCAGCTAATGGACAGTGAAGTAGCAGCATTTTGTGATGTAAGTGTATACCATATTAAATATCTTTAAAAAGTGCTATTTATTTTTCAAATTGGATTTTAGCAGTTTTTCCCAAGAACACTTTTTTATACAAGTATGGATACATCAGCAAATGTTTCTTTATTGTAGGTCTTGGAAAAGAAGATAAAGAGAAAGGAGGTTTGACATTATGATACAGTTATCGTATAGCGGGATTTCTTGGCGGGTGTAAAATTTGGCGTTTTGCTTGTTCAAATGTATGCCAATCATTTTGGTGTAATTAATTTTAGCGGACACAGGGTTTGAACACATTGCAAAAGAACACTAAGAAGAATACTGAATATTTTAGTGATTAAAATTTTAGCGGGCTACTACCAAACCACTAAAATAAGCCAAAATTAGCACCCCGCTATACAGTATATTGTCTTGAAGTGTTCACTTGAAGAAGTTCACTGCTCAGAACTTACTTCTCAGTAATTCTTAGTAAACCCTATTTCCCAGTACATGTACTTGCACACATAGTACAATGTAAACTACTTTATTTGCCCTTGAATGATCAAGGGCCATTGGAAAAATATTAATTGGACTTAAATAAAGTATTATGTTAATGCTTGGAATTGTTAATTCTGTCTAGAAGGGTAAGTTTTGTACCTGGTATGTCTCTAAACCTATATTCGATCTCCAAAACCAATAGGCTAATTTCAACCAAATTCATATTAGGCCTTCAAGGGTAAGTAAGGAGATGCCAGAATAGAAGATCAAAGGTTAACAGGTGAAGATATAGAAGAAAAAAAGAAATCTGTAAAAAAAAATCTCCTCCTGAACATTAAGACCATGTTAGTCATTTTGGAATTAAAGCATCCAACATGTTGAATCAAACTTAGTAAATCACATTCTCTTGGGGCTAGATTTGGGCCAAATATAGGATTAAAATTTTTATGGGAGTGGAAAGGGGAAAAATGCAAAATCTTCTAAAGATCAACAAGGCAACCGTCTCTTGGATGAATTTTATGGCTTATGGGCTCTTGTTTTCAAAAGTATTTGGAGGTCATTTTAGGAACTGAAAGGCCTATTAATCATAATTTTAAATTGCTTTTCAACTTCAAGATGGCAGATGGAATAGCCTTGACATTCCCAGACAATGGAAAGATGGTGACTGTGGTGTATGAAAATCATGGGGGAATGTCATTTTCTAGGGCCTTTCATCATACAGACACAGTACAGGTATGATACATATGATGCATGAAAAGTGCACATTATCATTATCATAAATAATGAAGACAGTAATCCTTGTATATGTATTAAACAAGAGTTATTACTATTGAATCAATTTTCTTCTTATTACATGATATGGATTTAAAGTAACAATTTTTAAGATAGATGCTAACTTGGCCATCATGAGTTGTTACATGTAAGAAATAAATTGAAATGATACGTTATATGATGAAAAGTCATCAATGGGATACTCTAGTAGCCAGCAAATTTGAGAATGATTTTCTCACTATAAGTGAGCATTTGATAGTAGAGTAATAAATTTTTGGCAATTCTAAATTTCAAATTGAAAGAATTCGAATTTAATTTTAAAAATGTCTACAAATTTTGGATATAATATGGCATTAAAAAAATGTTCAAGCAGCTCTGGTATGTACATGTAGGTCACCATCTGCAATTTTGGAGTGAATGGTGTTTTGAATGTATACATCTCATAGCATATTAAATGAATAGAAATATATTTTCCTCTGAATTTAATGTCCTTTTAATGCACATATTAAGCTGTCTTATTCACACAAAACAACAGTAATTGGACAATTATTTAACATCACAGTGGAGCAACAGAAAAATGGATCTCACATAAAAGATAATAATTGAAATTTTTTTTTCCAGAAAGGAGTCTTGCACCTTTGTATATTGATGGTTCTTTTTTTTTTCAGAGTGTGTACACATTTCTTTGTCAGATTATTGACCCAGAAATTCTCCCTTCTGTATTCCATTTGGAATGCATTTCACCAACCACCTGTACAGAAAGAGAATGCATTCATTGTTTTGAGCTCACAGAGTGTTTTGAAATGCCAATTGATAAATTGCCATCATTGTTGGTATTGAAAGAGGGGGTAAAAATTATACATATATCTTTTAAACATGTTTTGTTTCTTTACTCTGTACTTCCATAAAAGAAAAACTTGAGTCTTGATGCTTGCAGTGAAACAAAACTTACTTCATATATTTTACTTAATTTCTTTCTCAGACAAAAAGGTTCTAAAATATTTTTCATCAGCTTTTTTGCTGATAACTGATGTCATAGCTTCAGAACTGTTGCATTAAGGTTTTATATTTTAGTCTTTGACCATAACACTACAGATCCTGTGATACAAATATGGTCAAATTTACATCGCAAGATTTTCTGCGCATGGTGGGGGGATGACAAATATACTCAATTGTTTTGAATTTCTTGTAGGATGGCAGAAAATTCAAAACAATTGAGTTTATTCGTTGGTAGAGACGACTGTAACAAGGGTTACAAAATGAATAAAATATACAGGTTGGTTAAAGAATGTGCCTGGAATTACGGAATTGAAGGTTGACCAATGCTGGAAAGTGGAGAATTCTCCCATACCATGCGCAGAAAATCTTGTGACATAAATTGCACTGAGATCTGCAGCGTAATGGTCAAAGACCATGGTCAAACGTTGTGTAAAATCATAAATCTACAGTTCGACAGCTACTGATGTTAATGAACAATTTTAATTCTTTTATATGTATACATTTCAGAATTATCTGGTGGATGAAACCATGACATTTTATGGAACTGTGCTTTTAAAGAAAAACTAGACTGGCGGGTTCTACATAACTGTCCGGTTTATTTGTGTTCATCTTTTGATTAAACTCTTAACCAAAGTTTACTGAAATCAGAATGCCTGTCTATCGTAAACAATTTCTATCAGAAGACTATTCAGTATTTTTATGCCCCCAACCATGAAATGGTCAGGCATATAGTGTATATCATTTTGTTTTCATTCCATCACAGTAAGCTTTTTTGTTGGGTATACAAATGAGTTGCTTTGTAATATGTGTCTTTATTTTGCTGATTGAGAAATAAAGACTTGATGGTTTTGTTTTTAGTTCATCTCAGCTGAAAGCTCATTTGAGCTTTTCTGATCACCAATTGTCCGTCCGACCATTTAGCTGTCCATCCATCTGTCTGTAAACATTTCACATTTTCAACTTCCCAAGAACTACTAGGCTGATTTTAAGCAGAGTTGGTACAAAGCATTCTTGGGTAAAGTGAAGTTAAAATTGTTAAAATGAAGAGCCAAGCCCCCTTACAAGGGGAGATAATCAAGAGAAGACAAAAATAGGGTGGGGTCATTAAAAATTCTCAAGAACCACTTGGCCAGAAAAGCCGAAACTTAAATGGAAGCATACTGGGATAGTGTAAATTCTAAATTGTTTGAATCATGACCCCCTGGGATAGGATGGGGCCTCCATGGGTGGTCAAAGTCTTGCATGGTATATATAGGAAAAATCATCAATAATCTTCTCAAGAACAACAAAAGATTAGTCATTTATATTGCAGCATCCACAGGTAATGTGGATTCAAGTTGATTTAAAACATGACCCTGGGGTAGGGTGTGGCCACTATGCTTGATCAAAGTTTTACATGGGTATAAATAAGAAAAATCTTCAAAACGGAAATCAATTTCACATGGAAGCAAATTCTTTTCAATGAATTGTTTAAGACAATTAAGCACTTTAAAGTGACCATTCTCTTCGACTTTTCATCATTTGCCCTTAGATGTGGTATCTTAAGTTTATTGGATCATGATATTATTAGCTCTTCTGAGCAGAAGGCTTCAAAGAGCTAATGCTATGGCAATTTGTGCAGTGTCCATCAACTTTTAGGAATATGGGCCATAACTCAAGAACCCCTTGACCAATTTTTGTCAAATTGTCAGAGTATCTCTGGTCAATTGGCTCTCATTTATACTAAAAACAGGGTTGTGACCCTTAAGCAAGGGAAGATAATTGGGAAAATGATATAAAAAGTACAGGTTGCTAAAAAAAAATCTTCTGAAGAAGCAGGGGACAGATTATCACAAAACTTGCATACAAGAATGAGGATATGTTGTAGATTATGTTTTGTCAAAACTTTGATATTTTGCTTCCTATAAGGCAAAGGGTCATCAAGTCTTGTCAATTGATGCATCTTAGGTTACATATCAAGTTGACTCAAAAGTAGGCCACAGTGACCTACGTTTTTGAATATTTTCAGATACCAATTGGCATAAAATCAGCAAACTTTGTCAGTTGCTTCATCTTGGGTCCTCAAAATGATTCAATTAAAAAGAAGGTCACAGTGATCTACTTTTGGAATTTCAAGGTAATATTTAAATATTTCAATTAATATAATGCTTTGAATCATCAAGCTTTGTCAGTTGATGCATCTTGTGTTCTCAGAGTGTGTTAACCAAAATGAAGGTAACAATGACCTACTTTTAGAATTTCAAGGTTTTATCTAGATAAATAGAATACTATGAGGCTTCAAATACAAGTGATAGGTATGTTGTGCAATTTATCAGAAGAGTGATTCAAGGCCCTTGGTCCTCTTTCTTTAATTTGTCATTGTATGAGAAATGTCCAGGAGTAGATTACCTCCAAATTCCTTTGGTGGATATATGTCTACTGATGTATTGATGTTATACAAGGCAATATTACAGGTGTGTTGAGGGAAGAACATTTTATCGGGCAGTTGATTTTTTAAACGCATGTACTTATTACAAAGTAAGGCTATATAATTATACAGATATTATACATGTGCACTAAATAAAAAGATTTGAAATAAAAGTGACCTTTTATTATAATTTTTGTATGGTGAATAATAATGAAATATATAAAGAGAAAGGTATGAATTGAACAATTAATAATGTTTCTATTGCCACTCATAACTTTGGCCTCAAGATTTAGCTTGTAAACTCATTATTTTAACGTTTTCTCAAAATGAGCCCCTTAATTTGCCCCGTTTGTACATTTGTTTCTCCAAAAGCATCTTGGAAAGTAATTTTTAGAGTGCTCGTCTCCCCCATTTGAACATTTATAGCCGACAAGCCACCTACACCATTATAAGTGGGCCCTCCACTTATCCGCACAACTACTGTATAAACGGTGTCTTTAACAAGAAGCAATGGTTTTGGAAATATTACTGGAATTTCTTTGTAGTTCTGAGTTTTCTGCTTAGTTTGGCTTTTTCCTAAAAGCTGGCCATTTCCAGTATAAAGATACATGGAAACCAAAAGACCTGCTTCACATACAGTCTCTGTACCGTAAACAAATATTCCTCTTAAATAGAAAGTATCTAAGTTTATAGTGAATGATATCCTGTCCCCATTTAGGGAATTATCAACAACCCATGTAGGATGTAGACTGTGACGTAAAAAGCGATTGATAATTATGTCCTGGTCTGTTATTAGACATCTTATCTTGGAGTGCTGTTCTGGTACTGGTTGTTGTTCAACTGTTGATAAGTACACCATGATCTTCAAAGATAATTCATTGTCAATTATGCCTTTATTAACAATATTTTCCAAAAAAAAGTCCATTGACATCATTCCGAACCTTAGAAAGGGACTTATGTCATGCCAGGTGTGGGGAATGTCTTCTTCTTTAACTTTTTTAGTCCAAAGATTGATGTGATTGAATAGAAGTTCCTCATGTATGCATAGACTGTCTCTTTTAACAATATTCAAGAGTAATTCCAGAGGAATTTCTTGGAATTCTTCAGTAGTTATACTTAATAATACTTCTTCAATGTGTTTGTCTAAAAATTCAAGGCCTTTGTTTTTGATATCCGTTATGCTGTTTTCATGAGAAATAGTTAAAATTTTAAGAACAGTATTTTTTGATATGTTTTGTTCTAAGAATATGCAACATTTTTCCATAAGTTCAGTAACACTATAATAGTCAGCAATCTGGTAAATCTCTTCTACATTATCTAAAGTAATGTGTATTTCAGAAGTGTACAAGAACTCTAACATTTCCTTTGTATGTTGAATAGAATGAACATCACACTGAATTATGTTTGATTCATCACTGGGATGATTCCACTTTCCACAAAGCCGGGCCTCAAACCATTTTGATCCAAGAATTAATACAATTTTATGGGCTTCAATGATGGAATTATCTTGAAGCTTTAACTTTACGTCACAAAGTCTCTGGTCTCTGAAGGCTTGTATTAACTTTCTCCCAAGAACTGACATTTGTGTAGTCTGAAATACGAAATAGCTTCATATATTAGGACAAAATGACTATGCTTAGGTCACAACGGTTAATGGAAAGTCACCATGGCCTCATCTTACAATGTGTATACACCGATTACCCGGTAGATGTTTATAGGAACATACAAACAAAGTAGGATTCATTGCCTGATCTAACAAATGTGTCTGAAAAAAACGTGTACATGAATTACACATAGAAGTGATGTTAAATTCATATGAATGTAAGGTAATTGTACAATAAATTTATCAAAGCTAGTTATCTTTAATCTTTCCTTCACTGTTACTTGAAGTTTTGCCAGTACATATAACAGTAACATATAACTTTAATAGTTTGACCCTCGATCTTCCAACCTCTTAACTTATCCAAAGAGGGGGACCAGTGTATAAGTTTGATGACGATCAATCAAAAGATTCTCAAGATACTCTTGGCTGTAAGAACCAGGCCGGTTCCTCCCCCCCCCCCCCCCCCCCCAATAATTTTGTCAATATATAGAATACACTGTACTATAGAAAATATACATGTAGCTACTATATGCTTGTGCCCCCTCAATAATAATGTCCGATGACCTTTTTTTTTTTTTTGCTTGTCAAGGAATTTTGGTAGTTGATAGTGCCCCCCAACTGAAAATGTATGGTTGTGCCCCTTCAAAGTGAAATTGCTTCCTACGAGCCTGATACTGATCAGACCAACTGACTGCTTAAAATGGCATGCCCTCTTTTTTCAAGCAACACAAATATACAAGTCTTTCAATGAGGATTCAAACAAACAAATATCATTACATATTTACTTCATATATTTAATTAAACATATATAATGTACAAGTATATACACAGGGCTATTAAAGAATCACGATGAAGACTATAAACTTAAATAACAAAACACATATTAAGTATGAAAGCCCTAGCACCAACTGTTCAAAAGTTATGGCCAAGGTTAAAGTTTGGCAATTTTTTGTAAAAGTGGGTCACACTACAAGGTCAAGGTCATGAGGTCAAATTTGGTGGTACCCAAAGAAAGATTTTGTCACAAGGAATACACCTGTGAAATATGAAATTTTTGAATTTGGGGGCATAAAGAGTCAAATAAATACAATATTGTTCAAATATATATGAAGTAAGAGTGGTTCATTCTAAATTTTCATTCTCATTATACTAAAAGCTTTAATCAATACATTTCAGTGTGTTTTATAGTGGGCCTATAGATAAGGTGTGAAAAGCTTATTTCAACTCTCCCCTCTAAAAAATATTGCTGAGAAATTCAGTGAATTATGCACATTCACTTCTTTTATCCTTGATGGAAATGAAAACAGAGCATCCTTGAAGTACAATAAGTATAACATAATACATCAGGTATCAAAAAAATATTGCTAACATAAAGAGAAAATATCAATGAATGAAATTGATATTCTAAAGTTAAAAAAAAAAGATAAGGGGGCATATATCTGTAGTATTTCTGGATTTTGAACAAAGTATTTCTTCCTGCTATAAGCCAGTACATGTAACTATCTGACAGTAGAAACTATTACATAACTGGAATTTTTACTGCAGTTGTGACATTACATTGTTACATGATCTACCTTCATACATACATTCATACATATAATGATATTTCATATATCAAGTCAATAAAAGAGACATAAACTCGCTTAGAAAAATGTACAGATGGCGAGCACAAGTCATGTCAGTTATGTTGACTGGGAAAGGCAAATTATAATGGCTCAATATAGATGAGGCTACGGAAGCAAAATCCTCGTCAATCTCCTTGAAATTACTTCTGACAAGTCTCTGTAACTCAGTCACAACGTTTCTCTGAACAGGATGTAAGTAGTTTGAAGCACCTGA